CAAACATTTGCAGCGGGATTAAACGTTTTAATGGTACCAAACCTTCTCCCTTTTCTGAAACAATAGTATAACATCACAACATAGAAAAACACACTATAAAATATCAATTGGAAGGCTTAACTCAATAAAAAAACGTAAATTAACATACAATGAACCAATAAATTTGACCTGTGACACCTGAATGCAAATACACAGTTAATAAAAAATTACAAGGGATAAATAATTAAAGTAAAAGGTAAATAAACAGGTTAAAGTATGATATCACTGTGAAGTATCAAACAATTTATAGAAAATCATCACTTTTGAAGAAACCTGCGTCATATTATACACAGGTAAATGAAAATAATTATGTTGTTTATTGCTTTTTGTTCTTGTTTGTGTTTATAATCACATGTACGCTTTTTAGTATCTGTTTGTGCTTGTATGAATTTTTTACAACAGAAAACCATCCTTGTCAAATGTATTAAATGTTGTATTCTAAGACACATTTTAGTTCTGACCAATATACTGCTGCAAAAAATCAAAATTTCAGTATTTTTTTTTTTTTATATTATGCTTTTGTTTTTGTTTGTTTGTTTTTTCTTTATTTATTATTTTCTCTTCTGTCTTTTCTTTTCCTCTAAAATATAGCTCTTTCTTTATTGAACAATACTATGGAAATAATGGATACATAATAATATACATTGTAGTAATGCATATTTCAGATTTAAGAATACTAACAATTACTAACTTACTAGTTCTATTCAAATATACAATCTTATGCTTATCAAGGTCTGGATAAGGTAACGGTACTTTCTATATCTAACTAACAAATATTAAAATTTTCATACAGTATGATGAAATTTAAACAACAAGAGTGCACACGCTGAAATGTCTCGCCTTCTTTACTAACCATTGATATTATGTTGATAGTTCTAAAGCTTTACTACAACTATCACATAAACTTATCATAATCCACTAAAATGAGGTCAAATGTCATATAAACCAAACTGGAAATACATATACACCATACAATCATTCCATGCACCAAATATGCTTTAAATATACATGTAGTTGACCTATTGCATATCTAAGAAATAAACTTAACCAGGAAAACTTAAAATTGATCAATGAACCATGAAAATGAGGTCAAGGTCAGATGAACCCTGCCAGACAGACATGTATACCTTACAATCATTATATGCTTTGAATATAATAAATGACCTTTTGCATATAGTATCTAAGAAACAAACTTAACCAGGAAAACGTAAGATTGACCAATGAACCATGAAAATGTGGTCATGGTCAGACGATAAATGCCAGACAGACATATACACCTTACAATAATTCCATACACCAAATATAGTTGACCTATTGCTAAAAGTATAAGAAAAATAGATCCCCCAAAAAAACTTAACATTGAGCAATGAACCGTAAAAATGAGGTCAAGGTCAAATAAAACATGCCAGACTGACATTTTCATCGTAAAATATTTTCATTCACCAAATATAGTTGATCTATTTCATACAGTATAAGAAAAACAGACCAAAACACAAAAACTTAACTTTAACCACTGAACCATGAAAATGAGGTCAAGGTCAGATGACATCTGTCAGTTGGACATGTACACCTTAGTAGTAAACACCCACTTTCCTTTTGATCGATAAAGAGGTTAAACTCCTAACTATCCTACTGTCTGTTGATACATTTATTTTTGGCATTGAACAAGTCATGTCTTCTTTGACTGTCCATGACGTTAAAATACTAAATCCCTGGGATGTGTTTTAGTTGATTTTAGTCTCTGATGCATGATTTTTTATTATTAATTGTTTTGGCTTTTAATCAGCTGTCAGTAACTGCGAGTACTCTCTTATTTGACCTGTTGATACTAATTGTAATGCTTTTTTTGTTATTTAATGTTATTCAGGGTTATATCTGGTCTATATACCAGCTTTGATAAGTGTTTGGTATTACTATAAATTTTCACTTTGTACTATGAACATCAAAATTATTTATTTTGTAAAAATATTTCCTTTCTCTATTAGAACTGTACACGTAAACCTAATAACAAAATTATTTTCATTAACCTGTGTTTAAAGAAATTGTAAATGGCTGATATTTTTGTTCGATCATATTGTTTTTCTTAAATTGTTTAACATTTCATACCGGTATAACATGTTACTTTTATTATTCTTCCCTTAGTTTACTTATTTTGTATTTACATTAAATCATAGGTCAAATTTAATTGTTCAGTGTATGTTCACTGGTGTTAATATGTCCTTTGATTGAGTTAAGCTATTTCAGTTGATATTTTGTAGTGTGTTTTTCTATGTTGTGATGTTACACTATTGTTTCACAAAAAGGGTGAAGGTTTGGTACCATTAAAACGTTTTAACCCGCTGCATTTGTTTGCACCTGTCCTTAGTCAGGAATCTGATGTTCAGTAGTTGTCGTTTGTTGGTGTGGTTCATAAGTGTTTTTCGTTTCTCGTTTTTTATATAGATTGGACCGTTGGTTTTCCCGTTTGAATGGTTTTACACTAGTAATTTTTGGGGCCCTTTATAGCTTACTGTTCGGTGTGAGCCAAGGCTCCGTGTTGAAGACCGTACTTTGACCTATAATGGTTTACTTTATAAATTTTGACTTGGATGGAGAGTTGTCTCATTGGCACTCATACCACATCTTCTTATATCTATTTACAATCATTTCATACACCACACATACATGTAGTAGACCTATTGCTTATAGTATCTGAGATATGGACTTGACCACCAAAACTTAACCTTGTTCACTGATCCATGAAATGAGGTCGAGGTCAAGTGAAAACTGTCTGACAGGCATGAGGACCTTGCAAGGTATGCACATACCAAATATAGTTATCCTATTACTCATAATAAGAGAGAAATTAAGAATACTAAAAATCTTAACTTTTTTTTCAAGTAGTCACTGAACCATAAAAATGAGGTCAAGGACAATGGACATATGACAGACGGAAACTTCATAACATAAGGCATCTATATACAAAGTATGAAGGATCCAGTTATTCTACCTTCTGAAATATTAAGCTTTTAGAAGTTAGAAGTTAGCTAACACCGTGGCCGCCACCGGATCACTATCACTATGTAGAGCTTTTCTTGCAAAATTTCTCTTAGGAAAATTGATTTAAATGTGAAAAAAGTCTGACGTTGGTCCTACTATTATGCAAATTATTTCAAAAATTTCATCATATTTTAATAAAAAATTTATCATTTATAGTTACCCTAGATATTTAAGTGCTCATTTTGATTTGGAAAAGTGCATGATTTGAATATTTGTGTGAGCTGAAAGTTAATAAGTGAGACCCCCAAATAAGCATTATTACCTACATGTTGGTATGTTTATAGTCAATCTTTTTTTACATTTTTAATTTGTCAAAAATAATTCTCAAAACACTAAAAGAAACCTGTTTTTGATTTTAGAATGTCTCTTTATTTTCACACAAAAAAAAAAACGCAATATCTTTATTTAATAGCAATACACTTAACTAAAACACCAATAAAAATTATTCAACACAAAACCTTTAAAAAGGGTGCAAACGTGAAAGGTAGCGGCATGATTTTGGGCGAACAGATCCAGATTTCTGATTTAACCAGGTGCTGAACTTAAGTGCTTTCATGTTGATCCGGCCCCAAGTTGACCTGTCCCAAGTCAAGCCGTCCCAAGTCAATCCGCCTCCAATATAGAAAATATCTATATATAAAGAATAAAAATAAAGATATATGGGAACTGTAATTCATAAATGTTTATTCCAAGTTATTATGGAAAATAAATTCATATTTGTATGCTGATGCTGCTTTACAAACAGTACCAATCATACTCATTTTCCTGATTCAAATATGTCACCAAATCCCCCCGAAGTTGATATAAATCAGTGTTCCAGCTAGGATTTCAAAAGGACAGGGAGCCAATCATGAAAAGGACACTTTAGCACGCTGATCGATAATTCAAAAAGGGCATGTCAAACATTGTCTTATGAAAACAGCATGGCCGGTTTCAGCTAGGAGTTTTGAGTGCTTTAGTAACTGTTACTCAAGATGAAAATCAACCTTATTTTGGGTAACAGTAAGGGACCAAGGACGTATATTACTAGCTATACATATGCTCAAGTCCTCCAAGGACGTATATTACTATCTATACATATGCTCAAGTCCTTCAAGGACCAGGATCTTTAAAGGCCTTAGGCATGCTACAAATGTAGGCAGTCATGGCATGATTTCACTGGTGTAATGCTTAAAATTAGAACAAATTAGAACAAGGATCTGCAAATTTAGTTCACAATTTGTTTAATGAATTAGTGACCCATCCGATGGCGATAAACGGATTACCTGTAATCACAACTTATAACACCTGCTGTAAATGTTAATTAGCTGAGGGTCATAAACTTGTCAGAAACATGAAGACAGGTAGAGTTATAGTATTTTCAATTTTTCCTCAAAATACTACAACAATAAACATGATAAAGGCATAGACTTGCAAAAAAGGGCAGTCGGCGTCTTCAAAACTGCACAGGGCGGGCAGACCGCCCTGTGTAAACAATTAAGCTGGAACACTGTAAATAATTGATTATTTTATTATGAGTCCTGATCGACGTAGAGCCTGATCGACTTTTGGCAGGATCGACTTAGGGTCCGATCGGTTTGGGGCTGGAATGACCTGATACCACTGAAGTGACTAGAATTCCAATTTTTCACAACAGTGACTTAAGCAATTGATTTATCAGCCGCAAGAACGAGATTATACTAATTTACAAAGATTAAAACCAATATAGAATATTTAATAGAAAAAGGATCAGAGAACGCATAATTTGTCATTTATTATTTGATCTGGTTTGTCTTTAGTTTTTTTAGTATTTTGTAGGCTGTCTTCTCTTCGTTTTTTGCCAGGATTTGAACGGTTTCTCTTGAAATTACATGAGTTTCTCTCTTGTAATTTCCGCTTCTTTTATGCCCTTAAATATTAACCTAAATAACCGGTAATAGAACCTTTTTTCTAAACTGTTTACAACCTATCCGCCATCTGTAGCAACAACAATCTCGTTTCACTTCGCGTCCAAAACGTGATTTTCTTCATAGGGGTAGGCTAAAACCCAGCTAACCAAACTCGATTTAAAAAAATTAAATAAGACACACACAGTGATAAATAAGACAAAACTGTTCTACCGGTTAAAGAGTAAGATGTCAGTATTAGCAGTCATTTAAAGAGTATTACGCACATTTTTTATTTAAAATAATGAAATAATCTTCTACATCTCTTATGTTAATGGATTACGAAAATGAATAAATACACACATATGGTAATATTAGACTGGCAAAGTGTATGTAACCCAAATAATAAATGATCATAAATGACAAAAAAAGATTACAACACATAAAACAGAAACCATTAGAAACGATTATGTTATGGTGGTAATTTGTTTCAGGCACACTTCTCAATATAAAGGTGCAGTTTTTATACAACCGCAAAAAAATTATTGGTATGACGTTGGAGTCGTCGTCGTCGTCGTCGTCTGGCGTCGTCCGGCGTCGTCCGAAGACACATTGGTTTTCACACTCTAACTTTAGTTTAAGTGAATGGATCTCTATGAAATCTTACCACAATGTTCAATACCACAAAAGGAAGGTTGGGATTGATTTTGGGGGTTATGGTACCAACAGTAAAGGAATTAGGGGCCAAAAAGGGGCCAAGCATTTTTGTAACTTCCAGACATAACTTGTGTGTTAGTGTATGATCTCTCTGACATTGTACCACAAGGTTCCATATCACAAAAGGAATGCTGGGATTGATTTTGGGGGTAATTGCCTCAAAATTTTAGGAATTAGGGGCCAAAAAAGGGGCAAAAAAACAAGCATTTTTCTAGTTTCATGACAATAACTTGTGTGTAAGTGTATGGATCTTTCTGAAATTGTACTACAAGGTTCCATATCACAAAGGGAAAGCTGGAATTGAGTTTGGGGGTAATTGCCGAAACGTTTAGGAATTTGGGGCCAAAAAGGGGCCAAAAATAAGCATTTTTCTAGTTTCCAGACAATAACTTGTGTTCAAGTGTATGGATCTCTCTGAAATTGTACAGCAAGGTACCTTACCACAAAGGGAAGGCTGGGATTGATGATGGGGGTAATTGCCTCAATATTTTAGGAATTAGGGGCCAAAAAGGGGCCAAAAACAAGAATTTTTCTAGTTTCAGGACAATAACTTGTGTGTAAGTGTATGGATCTTTCTGAAATTGTACTACAAGGTTCCATATCACAAAGGGAAAGCTGGGTTTGAGTTTGGGGGTAATTGCCCTAAACGTTTAGGAATTTGGGGCCAAAAAGGGGCCAAAAAAACACATTTTTCTAGTTTCCAGACAATAACTTGTGTTCAAGTGTATGGATCTCTCTGAAATTGTACTGCAAGGTACCATACCACAAAGGGAAGGCTGGGATTGAGTTTTGGGGTGATGAATCATAAGGGGGTTCAAAAAATTTGGGGGGGGGGGGGGATTTTTTTTTTTTTCCTTTTTTTTTTTCTTTTAAAATTTTCCATTTTAAGTTGGTTATTTCTGATTTATATTTAAAAGCAAATAATAATGATATGGTAGGAGATACACACCAAACAGGATGTGTAAATTATTATATAATAAGTATTGTGCAATAGCAAGAAATTTTCAATTGCACAGTATTGCACAATAGCAAGAAATCTTCAATTGCACAGTATTGCGCAATAGCAACAAATCTTCAATTGCACAGTATTGCGCAATAGCAAGAAATATCCAATAGCACAATATTGCGCAATAGCAAGAAATTGTCAGTTGTACAGTATTGCCCAATAGCAAGAAATATTTAATTGCACAGTATTGTGCAAAAGAAGATATATACTTCGTATAAATTGCTTATTTCTTGACCAATTTCAATTGGGTTTTATTCTTGAATTCTTGGGGTTCTTTAATATGCTGAATCTAACCATGTATTTAGTTTTTGGATTTTGGGCCCTGTTTTTAAATTGGTCCACATTGATGTCCAAAGGGTCCAAAATTAAACTTTGTTTGATTTCATCAAAAATTGAATTATTGGGGTTGTTTGATATGCCGAATCTAACCGTGTATTTGGATTCCTAATTTTTGGTTCCGTTTTCAAATTGGTCTACATTAAGGTCCAAAGGGTCCAAAATTAAACTTAGTTTGATTTTAACAAAAATTGAATACTTAGGGTTCTTTGATATGCTGAATCTAACCATGTATTTAGATTTTTGATTTTTGGGCCCCGTTATCAACTTTGTCAACATTGAGGTCAAAATGGTCCAAAATTAAACTTTGTTTGATTTCATAAAAAATTGAATTCTTGGGGTTCTTTGATATGCTGAATCTAACCATGTATTTAGATTTTGGATATTGGACCATAATAGGTGAATGTCCAATTTAAAATTTTTAAGTTCTTAGACCACATTCATTCTGTGTCAGAAACCTATGCTGTGTCAAATATTTAATCACAATCCAAATGCAAAGCTGTATCAAGCTTGAATGTTGTGTCCATACTTGCCCCCAACTGTTCAGGGTTCGACCTCTGCGGTCGTATCAAGCTGCGCCCTGCGGAGCATTTTATTGTTATTTAAACAAATGTGATGTTTTTGAATTGATTAATGTTCACCCCTGGAAGATTTTGTACAACTCTAATGAGTCGACACGAACTATCATTGATATGTTCATTTTCTGTAAATTCATTGTTTATAAAATAAAAATGCTGATAATGAAATATTCCAAATACTTCAGTTTTTCTACCCAGACATAGATTGCTTCAATTATATCTATTAATATGAGGATTAGGTGCTACCTTGAATGCCATCTTACCAAGACTTTGTCCTACATATAAAACAAAATAATAAGTTCAGATGGAATATGTATAGGGAAAGTCCATTGAACTTCAAAAGGCGGGAGGGGGTTATGATTTTTTTTCTTAAAAAAAATATTCTGATTCCCAAATTGATGAAAAAAAAAATTCTGTTCAAGCAAAGGACAAAAAAAAAATATTCTGAATCCAGATTTTTCCCATACCTACTAGTGTTAAATTTTGACCAAATAATTTTGATTGATAGCGTTGGAGCTCTTCGCATGAAAAAAATCTGACTCAAACAAAAAACCATAACCCTCCACCCTTGAAGCTAAATGGTTCCTCCCTTATGGTCCATATTGTTTTCTGCTGAAAATGAATTTATTGGTGATTTATATAAATGATAATACTTTCATTCATTATCTTTTTTCTTTCTTTGCAAATATTACAAAATTTAAAATAATAAGACATTTGTTTAATTTCAAAACTATGAATACTGTTATACAATCCATAACTTTATTAAATTGTTGATTTTCATAGTGAAGTGGAGGATTTGGAATATCTTTTCATCAATATTTGAAAGTTGCAGCTGTTTTTTTATTTTGTATTGCAAACGACACTCTCTGTTTGTTTAATTATTTTTACTTTCTAAATTAGCTGGATGTTCATATTGTATTCCCAGTTTCCTGAATCTCATATATATGTTATCAGCAAGAGGATCATACTGGTTGTTAAAAGAAGAGTTTGAATTTACAGTGACCCTGTTTAGAATATTGTTTTGATCAGGTTTTTCATTTTCATCTAAGCCTAAGGAACCATAAATAGGATTTTTAAGTTGATAATCTAAAGATTTTGCTATTTTCTGGGATGCTATTTAAAATTTGTGGGGAGAACACTGCTCAGCATTATAAATGTATACATGATCATCTTCTGTTTGTGGTTTTGCATGTACTAATTCAGAGTCAGTTTTATGTAATTTCTTGCAAATTTTTTTTGGAGGGGTTCATTCTTTTTTTCTTGAAGATTTTTCAAAATTTTTCAAACATTTTTTTTTTCCCTCATAATTTGTTTGGTTTTTTTCTCCAAAAATTTACCATTTTTACATTGATTATTTCTGATTTATATTTAAAGCAACAAATACTGATATGGCAGGAAATACACACCAAACTACGGGGCGCCGAATGGGACTTGAACTTTTTGTAATCAAAGTCAATTTTGTGTACACAAAATTTAAGTCTGTCATAACAAAATCATTTTTGTCTAAGGGAGCTACCATTTGATTTTTATGGGGGGGCTAGGATGAAAAATTTTGTCCTGCCTATTTATTTTCCCCTCTTTTCGGTCCTGCCTTTTTATTTTTCACTCTATTCGGTCCTGCCTTTTTTTTTGTTTATCCTGACTTTTTTTTTACATACATTGTCATCCTGTCTTTTTTTTTTGCAAATAATCTCATCCTGCCTTTTTTTTTACTCAAAAATCCTGTCCTGCCTATTTTTTTTCAAATTTCATCCTAGCCCCCCCCATAAAAATCAAATGGTAGCTCCCTAACAAAACTATGTGATACAGACTTGTTTTATGAGAACTTCAAATTTGTAATGACAAATTTTTTGTGTAGACAAAATTCAATTTTATCAAATAGGTATGTAAATATATTTGCATACAAAATTGACTTTTTTTACCTGGTATGGAAATTAAAACACAAAAGTCAATTTTGTGAGACAATTAACATGTTGATTAAATTAGCATCCTGTGATTTTGTAATTAAAATTATTTTTTGTGTAGACAAAATTGAGTTTTGTTAGACAGAAGTGAAAATTTAATACAAAATTGACTTTTGTGACACAAAATTGACTTTTGTTAAACACAAAATTGACTTTTGTGACACAAAATTGACTGTTGTGACACAAAATTGACTTTTGTTAAACACAAAATTGACTTTTGTTAAACTTAAAATTGACTTTTGTGACACAAAATCGACTTTTGTTAAACACAAAATAGACTTTTGTTAAATTTTCACTTCTGTTTAACAAAACTCAATTTTGTCTACACAAAAACAAACACAAAATTGAATTTTGTGACAAAATCTCAGTTTTGTATGCAAATTAGTTCAAAGAATCCAAACTAAACTAATTTGCATACAAATTTGACTTTTGTCGCCCAATTTTCAAATTAGGTAACAAAAGTAAAGTCTGTGATACAAAAATGAATTTTGTCATGGCAAAAGTAACTTTTGTCAA